ATTCATCGCCAGTCGCTAGAATCCGGTAGGCTCAACCATGTTGAGCGAGAATTCCCTCCAACGAGGATGACGGTGTGCCTTGCTAAAGGCGCATCCGTAACAGTGAACAAACGTGTTGTGGGAATCCACTACACGCTAGAAGGAAAGCAGTACGATGTCGAATTTATCGTACTAGATTTGGATGATAAATTCGGTGTCATCCTCGGTCTGCCATGGCTAAGAAGACACCAGCCATGGATCAGCTGGCAGCATCGTTTCGTGAAGATGCCTGCCGTTTGTTCATCAGATGGCCATCTGATGAACGTCTTGGCGCGTCCACAAGCGTGTTGATGTACTAAGAGTGGGTGCGATGGCCTCACTTGTGGTACGGTCGTTAGTACGACTGAACAAGATCACAGTGTAGAAGGCCACTACACTGTGGAATCAGCTTCCGGGACCTGTGAAGAGACACAGGCTGCGCTGAAGGTTCACCACTCGAAGAGATCGAGTGGACTGGAACGCGGATGCACACCAAGAAGGGTGCATCCAAGAATAAAGGTTAGTGTTGCTTAAGATGAACAAAACGTCAAAGCGAGATCAACTAGCAGAGAGTCGATCGCAGAGCAAACCCAATCGACTGAAAGAGAGTCGATCGAAGAGGAAGTGACCGAGACAGTACACGAAATAAAAGAAAAGTCAAGCGTTCCTGAGAGTGATAACATCCAAGAGAGTTATGTTGAGGGTGTGGATCCCCAACCACATGCGGATGTGTTTTCCCAGGAAAATACCGAGACAGTGAATGTCTTGGTGAATGACGGATCAGGTGTAGGCGCTTATAAACTTGATCTGGTTATGCCCCCGAAGTCAGTTTCGGAGGTAATCAAGTTGCTAACGCTAGAATCTAGAAGGTTCTTGCAAGATCTGCGTAGTGAAAAGATTGAGCAGCTCTGCGTACTTGTCACATAGGACGAGTATGCCGCCTGTATTTGGTCGGCACAAGTGTTCACTGAGAACGACCGGGTTCTCAGTATCTCACCGATGGACGAAGGTGTACTCGATGAGAAGACTCGGATTGAGCGATACACGTCTTAATCTTGAAAGTCTTTGCAGACATATCCTTTGTACGATGGTTTGATCTTATTCAGGGATGTTTTCTCTGAATCCGTGCCATTCGAGTTGCCAAAGGAAAAAGGCACGCTGCATGAAATTGAACATAAACCCGGTTCGAAGTACTGTATCATGAAGCAGTGGCCACTGCCTTGTGAACAGGTCACAGCGATCGAAATACCGTTTGCCAATCACTTATATGCTCGTAGTGTGATGCAATTACCATTCCTCACGCCTCTCCGACCTTCTGTGTGCGAAAAGACGCAGAAAGGTGGCGGATAGTGCACGCATTCAACAAATCGAACGCTGCGACGGTACCGGCTCAGACGCCGATACCGAGGAATTACGTAATCAACGATGGTGTGGCAAAAATACTATCTTTCGTCCATGGATCTGCGGATGGATTCTATCAGATCCTTATGCGTGAATGGGACATTCCGTACACATAAGTGATCGCCCCAGTGTTATACTCTGGGAGCGGCTAGTGATGCCACAGGGGCTGAGTAACGACCCTGCAACGTTTTACAGAGGTGTTACGAATCTGTTGCGATCAGTGCGAGACTTCGGACCGAGTTACTTGACGATTTCTTCGTCTATAGCCGGGGTATGGATGGGAAGACGGACGTGAAGGTTCATCGAATCCACGCCCGGAAGGTTCTTACACGTATGCGTGAGCACAAGCTGTTCGCGAACCTTAAGAAGTATATATTTGCAGCGAGCAAAATACCACTTCTTTGCTGAATGGGCAAAGACGGCGTACGCCCTGATCCAGAAAAGATCAAGGTGATTAGCGACTGGCCTGTGCCAGTCAACGTCAAGGGACTTTAAATTGCCTTGGATTAGCGTCGTGATTGCACAAGTACTCGCGCAACTATGCAGAGACCTTACATCTATCCCGTTTATTAAAAAACAAGAGGTGGTCATGGAGTGCTGGGTGTCTGCACTCATTTGAAGGTATCGAGAAAATCATGATACAAGCGCCTGTATCGGCGATTGCGGACCAAGACAGACCATTCCACGTGGTCTGTGACGTCAGCACTTTTGCAATCGACTGCGCGATAGTGCAGTACGACTCAGATGGCGTTGAGCGCGTCGTCTAATACCAATCGCGTCAGCTGCAAGCAGCTGAGCGTAATTAGTGCATGCATGACAAGGAACTCCTTGCCATGAAATATGCACTGGTCAAGTTTCGGGTATATCTCTTAGGAGATAGGCCCTTCATCATTTATACTGACCATGCGTCATTACGCACGGCCGTAAACAGTCCACACCTCTCGCAAAGAATGGCGAGGTGGCTGTCTTTATTCGCGAAGTACAACTTCTACGTCGAGTATAAACCAGGACGACTTAATGTCGTCGCTGATGCTCTTTCGCGTCGGCCCGATTTCGAGCCGACAGCTCAACACAACAGTAGGGGTGATCCTACTATAGCAACACTAACAAAGAGTGTTCCATCGTCATTTCGCTCGACAACGTGCGAAAAGCATACGCAGGGGATGAGTCTCTTCTGTGATTGATGGATTACGTATCCTATCCGTGTAATCATGCTTTGAAAAGCTTGTCGTCTTAATACCGCTCTTCAACAGAACGATATTCTGTTCGTGATAGACAGCTGTATTATAAAGCATTCAACGGCGACACACCTCGTGTCGTCGTTCCGGCTCATAATGATTTGCGATTGCGCATCATGTATGAGTGTCACGATGCCCCGACAAGTGGGCATCGCGGTAGAGAAAAGACTTACTTCATGGTGAGTCGTGACTTCTACTGACCCGCCAGTATGAGTTTGTGCGCAAATACATTCGCGCTTGCGAAGTTTGTCAATGCGTGAAGCCTAGTCCTTCATCCCGCGCACCCCTTCAGCATCTACCGATTCCGGCAGAGTGTTGGCAGTCCGTATCGATGGACTTCGTCTTTGAGTTTCCCAAGACGTCCACAAGAATACTGCTATTCTTGTGTTTGTTAATCGTTTCAGCAAAATGGTACATCTTGTTGCTATATCGGAATCAATCACAGCCCAGTGTTGTGCTCGTGTCTTCATAGATATTAGCTTGACAGTCCGTATCGATAGACTTTGTCGTTGGGTTTTTCAAGACGTTCACAAGAATACTGGTTTTCTTGTGTTTGTTGGTCGGTTCAGCAAGATGATACATCTTGTTGCTGTACCAAAGTCAATCACAGTTCAGGGCTGTGCGCGTGCCTTTATAGATACTATCTTCCGACTCCACCGGCTACCCCGTGAACTCGTGTCCGATAGGGACCCCCGCTATACAGCGGAGTTCTGGCAATCCGTGTTCCGTTCACTTGGAAAACGTTTGACAATGTCAACATCTGATCATCCAGAAACAGATGGTCAGACAGAACGCGTGAACCGCGTCTTCGAAGAGATACTTCGAGGGTATGTCCACTCATTTAAGAGCTGGAGTGAGTTCTTGCCGATGGCGGAATACGCCATCAACAACTCGGTGCATGCGTTAGCCTCGCATACACCGTTCTTTGTGAATGGTCTACGCCATCCACGTTTGCCCGCCTTCTTAGAGTGTGACTCTAGTTTACGAAGAAGGGTGGAATCGCTCGAACCAAAACTGATCTGGTTCTTGCTTATCACCCGTCGACAATGGTGTCGACGTGATGGATGCCGATGTCGATGCGATCGATATCGATGATGACGATGACGACGATGCTGGTATATTTAGCATCGCCAATGACTGCCGCAGTGAGGACGATGACACCCTCACTGGTGAAGACAACGTTCTTTCAGCAGTGCACACGAAGCGCACTGCTGTTGACAAGAATGAATCAGCAGAGGAATTTATGCTGACTCGAGAAGCGCTTCGTTCAAGACTATATTGCAGCTGCACTAGACTGACAGAAAGAAACGCAGACAAACATGGAAGAGCACATGTTCTTATATTTGATGGAGGAGACCTAGATTTACTGTATACCGTAACCCTACCGAAACACGCACTGACAAATGTGGGCAGCAGTAAATTACTGCCCGAGTACATCGGTCCATTTCGTGTGTTGCGCCGAATGGGCAAAGCATACACGATTAAACAGCCCCGTAAGAGGCGTACACATCCTACGCTTTACGCTGGTCGTCTCCACCCGTACTATCAGTACGAGCCCGTTTCGAGATGCAAAGAACACCTCCGCGGTCGAGAGCTGAGGCCACCTTCGAGTAGTCCCGTTTCAACGAGCTAGTCTGTTCGACTAGCGAAGCGACCTGTTCACGCAAGTTTAGCGATGTCTCGAAGAGCTACACCCAACTCGTCACGAAGAAAATGAGTCGAACGTTCGTTCTCAAGTTGCGCGAAGGCAAAGCGGCACGATCGTCTGCACGATCGTTCGCTAAGGAATTGAAATTGTCCTTTACAATTTTATAAAGCTCGTAACGCCGAGTCTGTTCATGAGCCAGGTCATCTTGAAACTTTCCCGTTACACGTTTCAGCTCTTGAACATCAAGCTGATCCGATCCTCGAGCCGTATCAGGTATTTCCGCCGCCACCACATCGTTTGGTAGACTCAAGCGGTGGTCAACGCTTTATAGTGAAGCGTATCTTAAACCACCGCGATGTGAATGGCGTCCGGACGAGTTACCTCGTCCGCTGGCGTGACTATATACCGGCGTGAGACAGCTGGGAGCCTCGGGTCAAGCTGATTGTTGATGTCCTTGGTCTCGTCGAGCAGTACGACGAGACCCACCCGCTACGTTTGGAGAAGGGCCGTCGGAAAACGATCTCCTTGAACGCGAGTACAGGGATTGCAAGGTGTCAATCTCTTCGGAACCTCGAAAGAGATGCGCGCTCTCCGGTAGGGATCATTAGGTAGGAAGGCCTCCCTAGTGGCACGGTTCGAGTTGTCCGGGAAACCTGGACACGAATCACCCCATGAGGGAAGGGTAATTCTGCCTCTCATGAAAGCCGGTACAAGTTGAATCGCGCCCCGACTGGGTTGCGTTTCTCAAACCTGATGCGAGCTGCATCAAATTTGGCGAGCCAGACCTCACGGCCAATGCACTCGATGTTGTGGATGAGGGCATTCCATCCCTGCACCAAGGCTTTGCCGCCTTGACCACGGCTACCATCGTACCACCGATGTTTGAAGAACGCATCGGTGAAGAACTCTTCCTCGGCACGGATAGTTACCGTGCTGGAAGCAGGTAGGCAAATCTTCCTGCAATCGAACAACTGAATTCGATCCCGTTCGGTAGTCATGCCGTTCAACCGGTCCAACTCTCTGGATGACGGCATCCCACGGAGACTCCACTTAAGGAGCGTGGCGCAGGACATTTCGGTCCCTAGCCTCTTGATTGGTGCCAGCGTGAGCGCTAACACCATTGATACCCCGATCCATCGAGCTACTTCGTTTGTGGTGATGTATAGGTGCATCACCACCATCCCCACGCGTCCTATCGTTGGATGGACTTGCGTGAGGCGGAGATTCGTCCGAATAATCACTCGATCCGAAGATCTCGGACGTGATGCCGCCACGTTGACCAGAGCCAGTCAATCTGGCTCTTGCAGTGTCTGCTTCGGGTGACCCGGAGGCGTGAGGAGTCGCCTTCGAGTCGGGTGCATCATCCGACTCGCCAGAATGGATGAGCTCTATCTCAGACTCGTCTTGATTACGGCTCGTGGTATCCGCTGCAGACGCAGCGGATGTACCTGTCGCACGTGGTGACTCACCAAGTGGACTGCTCACAATAACAGGCGACGAATCGCCTGTTGCTGAAATGTAAGAGGCACTTTCCGCGGCCGCACGCATGCGTTCAGCCGCCCTTCTTGCTGCTGCAGTAGCAGCTCGCGTGGTTTTCGAAACCATGCGTTGGATTGGCAAATAAATGGAATTTGACCAACAAGTGCTCCCTTTCCCAGAGTGATCCTACGGTGGTCACCCTGTCCCAATCAATTTTAATCTAATCAACGGGTGATTGATGATTAAGGGGGGATGATATAACGGGCAGCCCGTTACATGAAATTGACACCAAACGGTGTCAATTGGAATATTGTCCAGCATGACAATATCCTATCGATATTATTCGAGATGGATAATATTTGAAGGAATATTATCCCCTTCTGGATAATATTCATGCGCTGCTCTAAGATCGGTTTATATAAGACATGTCAACCATAGATTGCCACCAATCGCTGCTAGACGCGCGCAATGAGTGGTAAGCAGGCTGTCGTCATACGACGACGTAGTATAATATGGTTCGATAAAGATTAAAGTTATATTGATAGCTTAACTATACTGGATAAAGTTTTCTTTTTATATTTACTTGAACGAGTCGTTCAAGTAGATAGCTTCCTCTGCACGTACTAGTGTACGTGAAATTTCGCGGCACCCCCATACAAAGGGTGCCCCGTTACACAATGAACCACAATATCTGGCCAACACTTCGCCGCTCCCTCTCAGTCCCAGTTAATATGAATCACCCCTTTATGCTGTCCTCAACAAGCCACATTACGTGTGCATGATGAGTCTTGTGCTCGGCCTGGGGGTAATATAGATTACTGATGGGTAGCGGGCGATCCGATAGCAGACCCAGACCTGTTAGTCTTATAAGGCGTGTCTATGATCCCAGAGCTGTGTCGGGAGCTAATGGAGAGGGTATCCAGCCCCATCGGCCGCATTAACTCGCTTTCGAAGACGTTAAACAATCTCCGTCATCGTCGGGTATGAATACCGTTTAGCTTACAGTGAGGTTGTCGTTGTGAGGCTGCGATGGTATGCTTGTTATTGATGGTTGGGTTGAGACACCATGGAAACCATTGCAGTTGCGGATGTTCTGCGAATGCAAAATCCTGTTTGTGATTCCGCTGTTGAAAACGGACCAACTCCAGTTCGACGTAGGTTAAGCGCACATGATCACAAGGCCTCGAAGGAGATGAGTACATCACTCGGAGTGCTCATACTATGCACTCCCAATGACTGACTATGCGCATGCAATACTGAACACGAACGAAGATCAGATGGTCGAGTCGATGTCAGACTCAGCAGTTGTCTTATCGCTCGTTTGCTTGAGAAGCCAGTTCATCCCATTTTGTGCTGAGCTATTGTTGCTAGCACGCAGCTGACAAAGAAGAACCTCGAAGATCAAGAGTGTCTCAATTCCACTGTGCTTCACAGCAATACTACATCTTAATACGGCTTCGAGCGATCAATACTGGAAGGGCTAGGAAGCATACTATGGTAGAATGGGTAGCAATTACAGTCAAGAAATACAAATACGGCCACCCATATTTTTACTCATATTTCTGTAACTAATACGAGCTGGGCGCTGCAATATGAGTATGTTATATGCAAAGCTATTTTGCATACCATTCATGTGTCAACGTCTCCATTTCTTGCTGACACTGCTAGGAAACGAGGTGTCACGGGTTGCTGTGATCATCATGAATTTTCGTCTGCACTGACATCGCACAAAACTTATAGTAATTTAGGCTCTTTTTTAACATGGGATAGAGCACTGCTCACACACGTTGCATTTGGCATCTGGTCAAAAGTATACAACCACATCAAGCATACAAATTTTAAGTATAGAGGAATTTTATGGATCACCAAACATTCGTTTTACTTACAATTTGTGAGGGGTGCGAAGTAAGTCGAAGTAGATGGAGTTTTCCTGGCATTCTTGACGCAATACACTAAGAAAAAAAGTTGCTTTGGCAAAGAGAGTAGCTGGACTGATGGTAGCACGCAACATACGTATTCGTACCGAACCATCTTGAACACGAAAATACGCTCCCGTGACGAGGCTGTAAGTTTAATAAGAAGGAATTTGATATGTCCGAAACGACCTTGAAAAAGACATTTCGGCTGAATTTGCGCAATAAGGGAGTAATCATGGTTAAAAGTTTAGACTGGATAGTAGTTCACATTATTACCTATCTATCATTGATTTGTTCAAGGGAGCTGCCGATGAATCTTCAGTTTTCGCTAATGAGTCTTCACCTCATATATCAATGAAGTGGCTAATTTTTATACCTCGTGAATCGTCAGTTGTTTTGGTTTACATTAATGCTCCTAATTCCTAAAATTTTACAGAAACGACTGAGCCAGTCATGCACGCAATCTCCACATAGAAAGCCCCTTAAACGAATGATAGCACTTGCAATGTAGGCTCGGACCAAATTGATTTGGGTGAATAAAAATTTTGCTCTACACCACGTCTCTATCTCTTTCTTTATAGTGACCATCTCACAAAGCCCCGAAAACGGCAATCGTTTATGGAACAAACGTATTCAGACCATCTTCTACATTAACGAGTAAAAAGGCAATAGTGAAAACAATTTACACATGTTTTTACTGCTCACCCTCGAATGCTTGAACATGAGCAGTAAAAACATGCGTAATATGCTTGATTGCAAAAATGTGTCCTTTTGAATCGTCTGCTGTGGACAGCGGTGCATGAGCATTGCGGATACACTGCTACTATCTTACCGACTTTGCTCTCACCCACCCTTTATAGCCGTTATGTTGTTGTATTACAGTCTCTCGGTATTGTCAGATTGTCAAGCGCATGATAAGGTCCATCAACTATAACAAGTGGGTAACCTATGATCCTATTGATGCCTTCTGTGTTGCTTTTTAAGAAAGAAGGTAAGAGGTACGACAGAGTTGATGATATAAAAAGGAATGAAAATGTTCCAAAATGTACACTGTAGCAATTTGACAATTTCGGTAGTTTCAAATCTTATTACTCAATATATGTTGGGAAACGTTAACCACCCCCAGGTTTTCGTTAGCCACCCCCCACCCCCTTTATATTACCGTAATTTACTCGATGTACGCGTTCCGATTGGTTAGATTGAATATATCACCGGTTTAAGCAGTAATTTACTATTTCAGTTACAAATGATAAAATACTAAATCTAGATAATTGATGCATGTCTATAAGTCGGCGACGTGTGATAATTTACATGTCAGATACTGTGATTATCCTGGATGGCCACTGTAACAAAGGCATTCATTAATGCTACATTCGAAATTGACTTTAAGCCAGCTGCAGAGGTCTATCACGAGGTAAATGTGTAGTCGTAATACGTGTATAATTGACTAACTAGACTAACGCGTAATTTGATGATGGTAGTGGCTCAACCTCCTCCCATCGGCATGCACATCGCGGCTGCTCTCTATCCCACGCATTGTCGACTGACTCTTCATCTAACAGCGCGTCCTGCTCCAGATCAAAAAGATTTGAGTCAAAAGACGAAAAGGGCGAGATGCCATATAATGACCGGGCTCGTGTGGTGAGGGTGAAGCCTATCGATCAAGGTACTTGTAGCTTCAGAGCGCGATCATGGTTACGGATGTTGTAAATATCTTAGGCGGTGACATTTATTCTGCTTTCATTGCAGAGAGAAGCGACAATAGTACCAGGTTTGACACCAGCACTGGTCAATAAGAGAACTCGCTCGCGAGCCTCTTCGTTCAACGCGCGACCATTTGGATGTGCAGAGGAGTCATCAAATGCATCGTGATTGTGGTTCCCTCTAATGACTGTAATGTGCCAGCGCTCATCTATGCGTTGAATGACAGCTTCAAAACGGCACCCAGTGCTTCTACTAGCCCTTATGCGCTTGATCGTTCTCGTTTCTGGTACTTCGTTAACAGCAACTGGCTTGTATTTATTTCCCTGTGAACACCGTACAATAATACGTTTAATTGCGCCATCTTTCCTATTGCCCACCTTCTTGGTACGCTTGATCGTTAGGACATAGCCTTGAGCTCTTGCATGTTCATTAAGTACCTTTCGGGATTCCTCTAGCGTATCGTATGTAGTGTCAGTAGGTGGTAGCAGAGCCATATGAGAATGACAGACTACGGTGTTTAAGCGCTGAAAGAAATTATATAACAACTGGAAAATAGCGTGTAAGCGATTAAATGATGCAATTATTGTGTTGGAATTGGCTTTCAGTATTCAGCAATATGACATTTATTTATAATCAATCAAAAATATGGAAGGTATATATATTACGGTAATATAAGGGGGTGGGGGGTGGTTAACGTTTCCGTATATGTTTAGGTAGAGGCTCGTTAGCGAAAAAGTGAAGGCCCCTAGCGGCTTCCTTTGTTTAAAAATCACAATGTTCCATGAGCGTAAATCCCACGAGGAAATGTTCTTTCACACACCTTTTCACTGTGTTCACAATATTCTTTATACTTAACTGCGTTAAACTTCTGACCGGAATACACATGATGTATCTTTGTGTTCGATACAGCAATTATAAGGGTTACACTTAGTTGAATCCTTGCTACCCTGTGTCTTTAGACACACGGATGATATCCCACTGAAAGAGATGTAGAATATATTATTTGTTTAAAAAAGGCTTACTGGTGTCAGCCATTAGATAGGCGAGATCTTAGTTGTACTAACTCAGGACATAAGTGTCTAGATTAGGAAATATTAGGATTAAGATATTCTGTAGTCTCAAATGTAAGTAAAATTCACTTCCCCTTTTAATCTTAAGGACACGTACTTTTGGTGTTGATCACTGATCGCTGATCACTAAGACTCAGTGACATCTCCTTGAGACAGCTAGTTACTCGTAAGCACTAGTGCTGCCGATCCACTGAATCGTTTGGACCCCTGGAAGAAGGACCATAAGCTTTTCGATTGTTGATTCATTGAGTCTAGTTCCTTAGAACTAAGTTGCTCGTTGAGCATTAAGTATTCCACTGACTCAAGGAGCTGTGTAGCTCCGCGCAGTATTACCACGCACAAAATTAAAAGACATAATCGACTACACATGTATTTTACCGCAGAGTGAAAAAAAAAGCGCCCGAAAATAGGCGAGCCCACGACCACCACGCACCTG